GGGGGTGTTTCGGGGATTCTCTGTGCGAGGTTCAGGGTGTGTTTGGGGGGTGTTCAGGCAGGCGGACAGGGGTTGTTTGGGGGGTTTGAAAACAGAAGTAAAGAGGGGGTGTTTGTGGAGTTTGAGAACAGAAGTGAAGAGGGGGTGTTTCGGGGGTTTGAGAACAGAAGTAAAGAGGGGAACCAACGCAGGCCTAGCCTCTCCTGAAAGTTGCTCGGTGAGGCCGACGGCGCACGACGGGCTCGGTAGGACCCCCACCAATTTTTTCTTTCTAGCTGTGGTGTGCCTACCGGTCGCCTACCGGTCGGTGCCGACAGTGCCTACCGCATGATGGCCAGTGGGCCAGTAACAACAAACCTATGACACACCCACCAACAACATGATGCAAGTCCAACACTGTCATAGCATGGCCACCGCTAAGGAAATAGATAAACTAAACTACATAGAACACTGTCTACATATGGTACATCCATGTCATGTCGCACTGCCTCCACTCGTCCCCCTCAAAACATGTCACATGCAATCCAACAACAAGAGCGCGTGTGAGGACCGACTCCGTGCCCTTGCCTGCCCGTGGTAAACCTGCAGCACCTCCTCGACCAGCACCAGATGGGGGGTCACCCTCCTCGTCATCGTCCTCAGCAACAGTGCCGCCCGCCCTGACATTCCTCTGCGCAACCCTCTGCAGGTCGTCCCTGCACGGCTGCCCGTGTGGCATATCAAGGCCGTTGGTGCATGACGTCTCCTCCAATGCAGACCCTCCCTGGCGACCAGCTCTATGCCGCACTTGTGCTGGCAATGGCTTGCCGAGGATCTGCTCCGCATGTCGCAGAGCCTGACCCAAATACGCCATCCTGCCCTCGTCCTCTTCCATCCGCCCTAGACACCTCATCTCCTGGCTCGTCGAATCTGGGTGCAGTCACCTTCCTCGATCCCAACCGCAGCTGTCACCCCCCCCTACGAGCAATGACCCTCCTGGCGTCACTCAGGACGATGTCCGTCCACCCATACAAGCTCTGGTATGGAGAGGATGCTCTCGTGTCCCGTTGTCTTCGCCTCTACCCAAACACGACGTCCTGCCCTCATCCTCATCCATCCTTCTCCCCCCACCTCGTCCCACTGCATCTCCTGACTCATCAAATCCGGCAGCAGGCACCTTCCTCGCTCCACCCTGTGCGGCTCCAGATGATCCTAACCCCAGCTGTTGCTCCGCCGTCCAAACAACAACCCTCCTGGCGTCACTCAGCATGATGTCCCTCTGCTCGTACAAGCTCTGGTATGGAGAGGACGACCTTGTGTCCCGTTGTCTCCGCCTCTCTCCTGCCCCTGCACTGGCAGGGGATTCTGATGGAGGCCTGCTGAGAAGAATCTCTCTCTCTCTCTCTCTCTCTCTCTCTCTCTCTCTCTCTCTCTCTCTCTCTCTCTCTCTC